AAATCTATCAAATTAAAAAAAACAAAAGTGGAGGGTGGGGGAGGGTGGGGGAGGGTGGGAGATGCAATGAATTTATACAATGTTACACAAAAAAGGTGGTTTCTGAGTGTTTGTGAAGCAAGCCTCTGGCACATGAGGCATGCACCAAATCCCTGGTATAGTCAGAGACTGTACCAAGTTCAAGTTAAAAGCAGCAGCATGGAAAAAGTGGATAGATTTAAAAAAACTTAGAGTAGGCTTCTTTGTTTTTTAAGGAAACAAAAACCACTTAGGTAAAGACATTATATTTGCTTATTGTTTTCATTCACATAAATGACATGAATATTTACATTTGAAACTTTTCTAAGCATTCCAGATAGTTGTCAATTTTTTTTTAAAACTTCCACTTCCAATATTCTTTTTTTTTCTACTTATATTTTCTGATTTATACATCATGGATTTTTTTTTTTTAAGTGTAGTATTCAAGTGAAAACTCAAGAACCAAATTTTGTTGAAACATATTTTTAAATACTGGTTTAAAAAAAAAGTATTTGATCTGTGATCTATAACAAGGTATTAAACAGTTACCCGTGGAAGATTCATGAAATGCCCAGATAAAATGGGTATTGAAAATAAGTTCAGTTGAATATTATACATAATGAAAAAAAAAGGCAACAGAAAATTCATGAAAGTGGAAACCACCTTCTTTAAAATATTTAAAAAGGTGTCAAGCATATCATTATCTATCTAGAAAATATTTTCAAACAAGGAGAAAAAGGCTAGGACTCAGCACTGGAAACTGAACAATAAACACCATAACATATAAGATAATTCAGTTTTACTAGCGTAACAGATCCGGGTTTTCAAGAATTTATAAACTAAGCACAAAAACAAAGCAGTTATAAAAATGGCTTAGATTTAAATTTGTGCGAGTCTGGGGCTTAGGGTGAGTGAGATTGTTTCATAAAGCAATTTTTGACATTCACCAGGTTTGATTCCCTGGTGGGTGGTTTAGGAAAAGAAGACCCTTCTTGTGGCTTTCAAACAATGGTAAGAGATGTGCACTGTGGAAGAGACTGAGGCCTTACCAGGCAATATTTCCATAGTAGTTAGCAGAGAATATATTACAGCCATACCTTTATGATGGAAACAAACCAGTTTTGTGTGTGAAATACGATAGTACTTAGACAATTTAACCAAAAACACAAAACTATAATTAGCAAATACGATAGTACTTAGACAATTTAACAAGTGACAGTGAATGTAAATATTGAATACGCATCAGTTTTACTTACTCCTGACAATTAGTAACGGATGATTTTAAGTTTTAAGACAGAAATACGAAAGAGAAAATATCTGGTCAAACACAGTATTAAATAATATGAAATATATTTTCACAAACAAACAGCTGCATTTCAAAATTAAAACAAAGAATGCTGAAGTGTTACATTACAGTTACTCTTTATTACTGTATGATGCAAAAATCTGGACAACGAATTAAAACTGTGGCTTTTGAAAAGTTGTTTCTGCTTCTTCTTCTTAGTGTTCACTGGCTGTAAAGTAAACTCTAGCAGGAAGTTCTGGTTATTTGTCCTTTTCTTGACTTTAATCTTGTTCTCTATTTTACGGATCTTCCTGTTTACATTCAAACTGTTGGTTTCTCGGCTCTCCGGCTGTGGCACTCCGAGTTTGAAGGAAACATCCATGATTTATCAACTCTTATAACATGCTTGTTAGGGGGCTGTTGTTCTCTCTCTCCTACCTCCAACAATGGGGGCTCTCGGAACCCACACAGGGGGCTCTCGGAACCCACACAGGGGGCTCTCGGAACCCACACAGGGGGCTCTCGGAACCCACACAGGGGGCTCTCGGAACCCACACAGGGGGCTCTCGGAACCCACACAGGGGGCTCTCGGAACCCACACAGGGGGCTCTCGGAACCCACACAGGGAGAAAGGTTCTTATTCACATGAATATGAAGAATAACACAACAGGGGCCAGAAAATAAACACAGAAGTTCTAAAAACCTTGGAACTGAAGAAAACACAACTAAATGAGATCAATGAAGGTAAAGAGAAACAGCTTTTGGTCAAAGAAAGTTCTTGATGGAAAAGTGGAGGGGAAGCCTGCAAGAGAAAGACAATGTTGCATGTCTGCAGACATCAAGAAATGTTTTGGAAGGAGCATGCAGAGCTGCATTTTTAGGATAAAGACAGAGGGTGTTGGAGTCTCTTGAAATACATAAATAGATGATACACGATACCTGGTGATTTTGTTTCCTTTCCTTATTTTGTTAGCCAGTTCTCAGCACTTATCAAGAAACTAATAATTAGAAAACAAAAAACAATATAAATCATAATCTCATCTCAAATGCACAAATAGTATTATGGTTCAGAAAAGATTAGTTTATTTGAAAAGAAAAAGCCAGAATCACTAACAGGCATACATGAGTGGTAATAACACAATGATATATTGACAACAGCATGAAAGAAGAATTTTATAACACTTTGTAGAAGTTGAATAATAATGGAAGCTGGGCTATTGCACTGGCTACAATACTGACCTGCCAGTCCTGAAGTGCCCAGCAAGGCAGTTAAAAAACAAAAGTGAACCAGACTCTCAGGCTGTGTCAGCCATAACTGGAAACCAGAAAATGTCCTGAAAAGTAAAGGGAACTGACTTGATATTGGTCATATTACCAAGTGTCTTGTAGAGCAGTTTGGCAGTTAGAAACAAAGGGAATTTAGCAAAAGGTTGCTCCCACAGATATCAAGTTGATAGCATATCTGTGGTTGTGAATGCCCATGAATGGAAGAACAGCAAGCTATAAGAGGAGAGACAGAGCAAGAAAGAGATGGGTGGATGGAGTAAAAGAGACATTAAAGAAACACAGTATGACACTAATACAAGTTATGCAACTAGCAAAAGAAGGAAACTACATGTAACTCCTCTCTGTGACACTTGAAGTGATGAGCAGTAGGTTAAAAGAAGAAGTGAATACTATCATAAATGAAGTACACACAACTGGTCTCTCCATATGTCTTTTCACATACTGACTATGAGAGGGACAGAGAAAAGTAGAAGAAGATTAAAAAGTACCTTTGGGATGCTAATGAGTGTCTTAGGCCTATGATGTATTTATTTATCTATTGTGTCTCATTTTGACTCGTACCGCGATTGAAACCCACTGTGGGCTGCGTGGATTTTTACCATGGTATGGGACGTCGCAGGTCGACCCAGCCTCAAATGGGTACCAGGATGGCTGTCCTGGGGAAGTAAAGACGGCTGGCGTAATACTGACCACATTACCCACCGAGTGCCGATTGGTCTGTAAAAAAATATGGGTGCTCTTCCCATATGCCTGATGCACCTAAAGGCATTAAAAGGGATATTTAGTTTTTTTTTAAACTCATTGTGACTGATAAAGGCAAAGAAGGGGACAGAGATAAGAAGAATATTCCTTTCCTCATTTTTAATTAGCATTTTATGGGTGAATTTATCCAGGGTGTTTAAATACTGATGCGCAACGGTATGTAGTAGTGACATCTTTTTAGGCATTGTTCTTTAGCACCACTGTAATGACACATTGTGGTGAGTACCTGCACCTTTTTTGACACTTTTTTGGCACCTTCTTTTTCTTAAAAAAAAAAACCTGTATTTATTTATTAGTGATATGGTCTCACTGTATGCAACTTTGTTCTTAAATACTAATATATGTATAATACAAACTACGTCATTTCAAAAATTAACACTTGGTCGGCTTGAAAATGAATATAACTATAATTTACAAGCAATAATAATTTGACACAATGTCTAAGAAAAACAAAAATAAAATAAAACTTGTGCAAATTAAACATTCACAAATGATACATGGAAATAACAACATTCACTAGGAAACAAAATTTAGAAAGATTAAAATAACATCAAATAGAACATATTTTTTAAAACATCTCACATGCAATATTTCTACATAACACAACAAAGGTCATATACAAAAACTCTAAGAATAAATTAGCTTTTGCAAATTGCAAAAGAGGCGTAGTATTCTGCAGTGCATATACACTGCTGTTTACTGTACATTAAATTCTGTCATGGAAATAATTCCAATTTTTCAAGCTACTGGGAAGTTTAGCCTGAATCTGCAAAACACCTGCTCACTTTTATCATTAAAATTGTGGATTGCCAGTTTGTTCAAGCAATTTTTACCCTTGATGTTAAAATTGACCAACAGCATTCAGCCTGTACTCAAAACATGATGTTCATATGCCTATTTTACTGTAAATTCTATACAGAAGGCAGTTCTTGTACATCACTGTCATTTATCTTTTAGCCAAAGTAAAAACTTACTTCATGAAGAATCAATCCTTCCTAATGTTGCTGGTTCAAGACACTGATGCACCTCAGGAAAAATAAAATATTTTTGATTTGACTGAATCACAAAAGTGACAGAAATGAGAAATCGGCACCTCTTGATATTGCTAGATCAAGGTACCAACACACTTCATGAGAAATCAGCAGTTTAAAACTGTTGGATTCAGGCATCAACATTTTCATGGAGCATCAACGTTTTCCTCTATTTCTGGATGAAGTTAATAGCTAATCTTGTACAGAATTTTCTAGAAGGTCAATATCCTGCTACTAGCCCATAAAGACACATGGAAAGTATGGTAATTATTAATTCTCAAAATGATAACTAGTAAACAGTAATTAAAGAGATTATAAAGTTTCACTTTAGATTAAAAATTAGGTTACAAAATGAGCACTGCTGTTAAAGTGTTTAATATGCTGGCTAAACAATGTATAATTTATATACTATATGTTACAACTGACGCTGTTGATCAAAAAGGGCAAATTTAACCTTGAGGCTTCCTTCTGTTGCTGGTATTTTTGGATAGTCTCTGCTTCTTTGTCTTTTCCTTTGGCAGCAGCTCTGTCTGAAGCTCATTCTTCTTCTGCTCCCAGAAATTATTGGGCAGAGCAGTCAGGTAGTTTAGCAGTACATCCCAGTAGCTTGGTGCTAGTCATCCGAATCCACACTTCTGACACACTAGAAACACGCCTAATGTTCGACAACTGCAGTAATTTTTAAACAGTCTTCTGCGCTGCTTGCAGTAATTTTTCAGCACAGTATCCATAGAAGAGAAAGTATCAATGCTTGTGAGGCTGTTGGACAGTTCTTTGGGCTTGTAGCAGCCCTTCTGATCATTGAAGCAAAACTTTGCTTGACTCTTAGCAAATGTTGTCTTAATATCTTTGCTGGTCTCAACATTTGCTCGACAAGTGAAGCGAAACCGTTGCTGTAAGTACCCTGCTGAGGTTCGATTGGTTTGTACCCACTCAGTCCAAGGTGATGTTTTAGATAATTCTGAAAAGGAAAATAAAAAAAGAGGGAAATAATTTATAACTCGTATTTTCTAGTTTTGTTGTTGTTGATGTTTTTTTTTTGTGTGGGTCACTTCATTTGTTATTTTGAAATACTAACATTATGGATAATGCTTCTTCTTTTTTCTACTCCTTCTCCTGGCAATTAGTTTTTTTCAGATAAGAAGGCCTCAGGCCTGTCTGAAGACTGTGGTGCGATGCATTCCCTCCAATGAACCACACAGCCCGGTTTCCATTGGAATGCTAAATGGCCAGATCTGGGATCTACCTGCTACATCTAGAGAGCAATATCTGCAGCCCATCATGGAGCTTACGGTATTACAGTAATGATTGTCTGTAACAGAAGGAGATTTAATAATGACTATGTAAAAGTAAGTCCTTTTGTGTGAGACAAGCCTCGGCAAGAGAGGCAGAGAAAGACAAGAAGGATGAGAAGCCTAATAGGTGGGTAACAACAAATTATATAAGTAACATCAGTTGGGAGGGACAATGGTATAGTGGCAACATGCTTGCCATCCACACTGAATGTCTTGGGTTTAAATTGGCAGAAAGGTGATTTTTTTTTCTTAAAAACTGATCTTGGCTCCCTGTTCATCCATGTAGTGTTCTGAGAAATAAAGGCAGCCAAAACGATGTTGACTTATCACCCAACAAGTGCTGATTGGTCTATAAAATATGATTGCCACACCGGCTCAGAAAGACTCCTTTCTTTTTTTATTTGTTACAACATTGATCTTCTGGGTCAGCCAGTTCACAGACTGCAGTTATACAACCATGCCCTTCTACGGTCTCTTATTCTCAGCAACACTACTAGATCAGAATCAGACTCAGTCTCTTTCTTTCGTGCTTGTCTCTTTGAAAATCAGAGGGGCTGCACTCCAGCTAATGCAAACATTCATGTAGGAATGAACAGGAATCTCAATAAAAGACAAGACACATGCAGACATAAGTGAGCATTTTCACCAGTCTTTGTCACAACAACAATCATATAAACAACAACACACAAAAAAACACAGCAACAAGAACAATGACAAAAACAATCACAACAACAATCACAGCAATAAGAACAATGACAAAAACAACCACAAAAACAATCAAAACAACAAACACAGCAACAAGAACAATGACAAAAACAACCACAACAACAATCACAGCAACAAGAACAATGACAAAAACAATCACAACAACAATCACAGCAACAAGAACAATGACAAAAACAACCACAACAACAATCACAATAACAAACACAGCAGCAAGAACAATGACAAAAACAACCACAACAACAATCACAATAACAACCACAAAAACAATCACAACAACAATCACAATAACAAACACAGCAGCAAGAACAATGACAAAAACAACCACAACAACAATCACAATAACAACCACAAAAACAATCACAACAACAATCACAATAACAAACACAGCAGCAAGAACAATGACAAAAACAACCACAACAACAATCACAATAACAAACACAGCAGCAAGAACAATGACAAAAACAACCACAAAAACAATCACAACAACAATCACAGCAATAAGAACAATGACAAAAACAACCACAAAAACAATCACAACAACAATCACAGCAACAAGAACAATGACAAAAACAACCACAACAACAATCACAGCAATAAGAACAATGACAAAAACAATCACAACAACAATCACAGCAACAAGAACAATGACAAAAACAATCACAACAACAATCACAGCAATAAGAACAATGACAAAAACAATCACAACAACAATCACAGCAACAAGAACAATGACAAAAACAATCACAACAACAATCACAGCAACAAGAACAATGACAAAAACAATCAAAACAACAATCACAGCAACAAGAACAATGACAAAAACAACCACAACAACAATCACAATAACAAACACAGCAGCAAGAACAATGACAAAAACAACCACAACAACAATCACAACAACAAACACAGCAACAAGAACAATGACAAAAACAACCACAACAACAATCACAATAACAAACACAGCAGCAAGAACAATGACAAAAACAACCACAACAACAATCACAGCAACAAGAACAATGACAAAAACAACCATAACAACAATCACAGCAACAAGAACAATGACAAAAACAACCACAACAACAATCAAAACAACAAACACAATAACAAAAACAACCAAAACAACAATCACAACAACAAGAACAATGACAAAAACAACCACAACAACAATCAAAACAACAAACACAATAACAAAAACAACCACAACAACAATCACAGCAACAAGAACAATGACAAAAACAACCACAAAAACAATCAAAACAACAAACACAGCAACAAGAACAATGACAAAAACAACCACAAAAACAATCAAAACAACAAACACAGCAACAAGAACAATGACAAAAACAACCACAACAACAATCACAGCAACAAGAACAATGACAAAAACAACCACAACAACAATCAAAGCAACAAACACAGCAGCAAGAACAATGACAAAAACAACCACAACAACAATCACAGCAACAAGAACAATGACAAAAACAACCACAACAACAATCAAAACAACAAACACAATAACAAAAACAACCAAAACAACAATCACAACAACAAACACAGCAGCAAGAACAATGACAAAAACAACCACAACAACAATCGCAGCAACAAGAACAATGACAAAAACAATCACAACAACAATCACAGTTACAAACAAGAACAATGACAAAAACAATCACAACAACAATCACAGTTACAAACAAGAACAATGACAAAAACAATCACAACAACAATCACAGTTACAAACAAGAACACTCAATTCTAGAACAAGTAACACAGACTAGTAACCCCTGTGAGGAATGAACAAAGCACTGAAAGTGCAGACAGCTATTTAAAAAAATAATATGCATAATGACATTTGACATGCGGCATACCTGGGCATTTCTGAGTATTACACATTCTCCACTCCTCCCTGTTGCCCATGCAGAAGATACCCCCTCGAATCGGAGGGGGGCGGTCGCAGGAGCGTTTGCGAGTCTGTATTCCACTGTTGCAGTTGGCCGTGCAGGTGCTCCAGCCAGACCATCCTGACCAGTCCCCATCCACCGGGACCACTGTGTGCAGGAGGAGAAAGTATAGTCTCAGTGAGGAGAAATATGAATGAGCGAATGGAGAAAGTATAATCTTAGTGAGGAGAAATATGAATGAGCGAGTGGAGAAAGTATAGTCTTAGTGAGGAGAAGTATGAATGAGTGAATGGAGAAAGTATAGTCTTAGTGAGGAGAAATATGAATGAGCGAATGGAGAAAGTATAGTCTTAGTGAGGAGAAGTATGAATGAGCGAATGGAGAAAGTATAGTCTTAGTGAGCATAAATATGAATGAGCGAATGGAGAAAGTATAGTCTTAGTGAGGAGAAATATGAATGAGCGAATGGAGAAAGTATAGTCTTAGTGAGGAGAAATATGAATGAGCGCATGAAGAAAGTATAGTCTTAGTGAGGAGAAATATGAATGAGCCCATGGAGAAAGACATGACTGCACCTGAGGTATCCTATATGTGCTCTGTGTTCTTCACTTATCCTACTGCTGTAAAGGATCGCAGAAAGAGAAGTTGGATGTAGTTTATTGTCTTTTGTGAGTTGCATAGCTTGTGGTAATGTCACACAGTGTTTCTGTAGTGTTTCTTTTACTTCCTTCATGCATCTCTTTCTTTGTCTGCCTCTTGGCTTGTAACCTAACCAGTAGAATTCCTATGCTGATAGTGACAGTAATAATCTAATTAAAAGTCAGAGTGTAATTTCCTCTCTCAAGGGCTAAGCGTTACCAAAATCCTATGTTCGCTTCTCACTGAATTGGTCTCAACAAGTGTGAACACAATTTACAGCTGTCCTATATTCTCTATTCTAGAGAGCCTTAACATTTACCTTGTCAAAAAAAAAAAAAAAATTTTTTTTGGTGACGTGAAACATGTTTACAAAAAATTATTTTATAAGGGGGAATTCATAGATTTATATCATCTCCCCTTCAAATTTTCCCCATTGTCCTTAACTTTCCAGGGTAAAATAGTTATTCTAATTGACTTGACTAGGGTAACCACTTCATCAAATTCAACCAGCAACGTACATCAGAAAACCAGATTTCCTGTGTAGACATGACTAGAACAATAGCAAATAAAGATAAACAGAAGAAGTAGAAGATGATGATGATGTGAAGAATACAATTACATTGTGGATAAAATAAAATATTCACTCAGTTGAGGAAAACAACTCTGACTTACTCGGACACTCAGGACTGTCTGAGCAGTAAGCCTCCTCCTTGTCACTGCCTGTGCATGTGTCACCTCCAAACTTTGGCGCAGGGTTGCCACACTGGCGAGTCCTCTGTCTCATAGCAAAGCCACAAGTCTGGGAGCAGGCCGACCAGGCAGACCACTCTGTCCAGCCACCATGAACTGCCAAACAAAATCATGAAATGTAAAAGTAAAACAATTGCAGCCAAGAATTAGTCTTGAATTTTGTCCCTCATCTACCATGAGCTTGCAGATTATCTGATGGACAAGGTGGTTACCCCAACCAACCTGGCAATAGACAGGAGTGACGTAACTAATGCCATGCACTATGCATTTCATAAGGAAAATTATGACAACAAGCAGGACACAGTATCCTTGTCCAGACGACAAGCAGGACACAGTATCCTTGACCAGACAACAAGCAGGACACAGTATCCTTGACCAGACAACAAGCAGGACACAGTATCCTTGTCCAGACAACAAGCAGGACACAGTATCCTTGTCCACACAACAAGCAGGACACAGTATCCTTGACCAGACAACAAGCAGGACACAGTATCCTTGTCCAGACGACAAGCAGGACACAGTATCCTTGACCAGACAACAAGCAGGACACAGTATCCTTGACCAGACAACAAGCAGGACACAGTATCCTTGTCCAGACAACAAGCAGGACACAGTATCCTTGTCCACACAAACCAGGACACAGTATCCTTGTACCAGACAACAAGCACATAGTATCCTTGACAGAAACAAGCAGGAACAGTATCCTTGTCCAGACAACAAGCAGGACACAGTATCCTTGACCAGACAACAAGCAGGCAATTACATTGACCAGATAACAGGCAAGGAATAGTCATCCTTGTCCAGACAACAAGAGGAAACAGTATCCTTGACCAGACAACAAGCAGGACACAGTATCCTTGTCAGCAACAAGCAGGACCAGTATCCTCCAGACAACAAGCAGGGACACTGACCTGTGCAGGACACACCTTGTCCAACAACAAGCAGGGACACAGGGTTGTTCCACACAACAAGCAGTCCACAGTATCCTTGACCAGACAACAAGCAGGACACAGGGATCCTTGACCAGACAACAAGCAGGACACAGTATCCTTGTCCAGACAACACCAGGACACAGTATCCTTGACCAACAAAATCATGCAGGTAACAGTATCCTTGACCAGACAACAGGCATGACACAGTATCCTAAATCCAGACAACAGCAGGACACATCTCCTTGAGCCAGACTACAACAAGCTGACACAGTATCCTTGTTACAACAAGCAAGGACACAGTATCCTTGACAACATAGACACAGTATCCTTGACCAGACACTATGCAGGACACAGTATCCTTGTCCAGACAACAAGCAGGACACAGTATCCTTGTCCAGACAACAAGCAGGACACAGTATCCTTGTCCAGGTTCGTGGAATGGGGGAGCAACCTGGAGCCGTCAGAGGTGAAAGATTTCTTCAAGGGCTCAAGATGCCTGATTAATCAAAACAGAATGTTCGTGATCAGTCATTCTACTCTTGTGCAGCTACTGAGGAGGAGGTCGGAGCAGCTATGGTAGTTGATAATAGTCCTCACTAATCCCTAATCACATATCTAACACTTATAATAAATGGAGGACAAAAAATTAACCTAAAGACATGTCAGTGAGTTAAGAAGTGCTGAGGAGAATAGAGAAGGAGTAGTAAAGAGAGAAAATTTCACTTGGTAGCTTAACAGTTGAAGTCAATATACAGTCCTTGATGATTTGTACAATCATTTAAAAAGGGACTTATAGAAATTATACCCCGGTTCTCTAGCGAAGTTGGTTTGGGCTGACTTTTCGCGGCTGGCCGGGTGCACGAAAAGTATCTCCTTGTGGTCCGGGTTCACCCCCCATGGGGTTTGTGGCAGTAAAGCCACATTTCTCCATCAGATTTTGTCTTTCTACTAGATGAATGAATCAATGCCGAAGGTTTCGATATCCATAGTACCCAACACCAAAGGGTTTGTTTCTCATGGTTTCTGGATATCAGTCTTGTGTTTCTACAGAAAAAAGAAATTATACTTGTGTCCCTGATCAATAATACTTTTGGGCACTGGTATGTTTTTATGCATAATTAAGTATCTAAACCTTGTTGAGGGAACATAACTAACTAGGGCCTAGCCCCATGTGGTTTGTGAGAACTGTATTGAATCACGACCTAGCGACATCATATTTTGTCTTTCTACAGATGAAAGAATCCAATATCAGTCCTGCAAACTCTGCTAGTTTCTGAGCTTGGAGAAGGAAAGCGGACCTCTGCAACACAGTCTATGAGGAGATTTTACCTTTATACTAGGCCAGTGGGGAAGTGTGTCTACCAGCCTGGCTCTGACACATGCAAGCTTTTTCTCAGTGTTGAAATGATGGTCTAGATACAGATGCAAAAGGGTGAGAATTTATCGTTCATAGTCAATATGTGGGTTTCTGGGCCACATGGGAAAGGAAGGGGTGGACGTGGGTGGGGGGAAAGACCCACTGGACTCCCAACAGGCATGTTGTAAAAGATGACTAATTAAGAATGTCTTTTTCTAAGACAGAGTGTATATGCCAGAGATGCAAGGAACCAAGAGTCTGCATACAAATGAGTCAGATCTTTAAAATGAATATGCATACAAAACTCAAGTTCTGGAACACGAAGATGAAAGTCCAAAAGTGGATAAACACCAGATCTTTCCACATCAGGTGAATGCAGAAAAGAAGAAGTCTTTCAGAGAATTTTAACCAGCCAACTAGCCAAACAGTTACCCACCCAATCAAACCCATCCACCAACCAATCACTTACCCAAAACCAACTAACCAAGCAACCAATCATCCACCCAATTGAACCCAACCACAAACCAATCACTTACCCACCAATCACCCAACCGACCAAAAAACTAACCAACAGCTGACAATGACCTATATTCTGCCTACTTCTGTTAGTCAAACAGAAATTTGATATGAAAGGCCATCTGCTGTGGATATCTATTTTCACAATTAACACCAACATTTACACCTTGTAGATTACCTGTACAGTTACTAATCTCCATTGAAGGCCCTCTGCACTCCCAGCCACGGTTGGCTGGTCGAGGATGATCACAAGATCTTAATCTACAAAGACACTGTTCAACCAGTCGGTCATGTCCAACCTGGCGACACACACTCCACTGCGACCAATCAGACCAACCACCATCAACTGAAAGAGAAGAAATGGTGTGCCAGAAATACTTTGTAAACTCAAGTCAAATTAACAATTCTTTCTCTCTCTCCTTATATATATATATATAAAGTGAAAAACAACATTGTGTATATATTTTATGTATTCTATATATACCCATATGTGATATAAGTGTTATTCTAGCAATGGCAAGACACAAGAGGAGATAGATCTTTTGTTTGACAACAAATGTGATGCTTGAAATATTTGCACCAGTAGCATACACTTTGATGAAAAAGACTAAATATTTGTAAATGTGTCCCCAGTGCTGTGATCTTGTTTCTTAAAATCAAGAACAAACATACATGCATGCAAGATATACACACTCACATACACACTCAAACACATACATGGACACCTTAGTAATAAATGATGCAAGGAAAGTTTAGGATGTTAAAAAAAAAAGTACAGTTATTTTGACAGGCCAGTGGCACAGTGGGCACATGAGGCTGGATTCATATTTTGACAGGCCAGTGGCACAGTGGGCACATGAGGCTGGATTCATATTTTGACAGGCCAGTGGCACAGTGGGCACATGAGGCTGGATTCATATTTTGACAGGCCAGTGGTACAGTGGGCATATGAGGCTGGATTCATATTTCGACAGGCCAGTGGCACAGTGGGCATATGAGGCTGGATTCATATTTTGACAGGCCAGTGGCACAGTGGGCATATGAAGCTGGATTCATATTTCGACAGGCCAGTGGCACAGTGGGCATATGAGGCTGGATTCATATTTCGACAGGCCAGTGGCACAGTGGGCATATGAGGCTGGATTCATATTTCGACAGGCCAGTGGCACAGTGGGCATATGAGGCTGGATTCATATTTCGACAGGCCAGTGGCACAGTGGGCATATGAGGCTGGATTCATATTTTGACAGGCCAGTGGCCAGTGGGCATACAGGATTCATATTTCGGGCCATGGCACAGTGAGGCTGGATTCATATTTTGACAGGCCAGTGGCACAGTGGGCATATGAAGCTGGATTCATATTTTGACAGGCCAGTGGCACAGTGGGCATATGAGGCTGGATTCATATTTCGACAGGCCAGTGGCACAGTGGGCATATGAGGCTGGATTCATATTTCGACAGGCCAGTGGCACAGTGGGCAGATGAGGCTGGATTCATATTTCGACAGATCAGTCGTTGGGTGATGCGGTCAACATCATTTACTTCCCAGGCCTTCAGCAGGTATCCAGTTAAGGTTGGGTCGACCTGGAAGTAAAGGTCATGTTTAAAAACAAAATAACAAATCCGGCACCATGCAGTTTTGAACCAATGCCCTTTGGATCCGCAGGTGAGCATACAACCACCTGCCCAAGATCCCTTTCATCCAAAGTAGTAATGATTAATGATTATGAGTACGAAGGTGGCTGATTAGTCCTATATAAGCCAGAAAAGTTTTTAAGCAGTGCGGACAACAATGGAAGCCGCAGTAGATGTGGGATTAGCAGTACAATTCTTTCTAGTCTGCAGACTAGAACAGCATGTGCTGAAATGGTACTTTTCACTCCGGTGATTAGTACCTGCACTTTTTTTTTAAAGAAGGAAAAAAAAAAAAACACAACTTCAAAGTGGCTGATCTTACAATGTACAAGTTGTGAACGACTACACTTCATCAGCTTCTATAGGCAGATACAGCACAGATATTCTGCTTCTAATAATTTTGAGTCTATTTTATTTCTTCTACAAGAGAGAGCTACAATCACAATCACCAACACCCCCACCACAACCAATTACACTGTTACAAAAGTTAACATCATTATCTTCACTATCATCATTACCGTAACAAGTATAACTCTGACTTTTACTTCTAAGACAAATACTACAACTGCTGATGTCACTACTATCGTAGTGCTGTTGCTACTACAGGTGTATTACGACTACTGCTGCTACTACTAAAACTGCTGCTACTGCTTCTTCTGCTACTCCTACTGCCACTAATACCGTTATTACTACTACTGCAACTACTACTCTACATATACTACTGCTACTACTAGTATTGCTCTACATCTATTACTGCTACTGATGCTACTACTGCTATAGCAGCTGCTTCTACTATTACTACTGCTGCTGCTAATTACTGATAATTTCTACTATTTATTAGTAATATTACTGCTTAACTGCTGTAGTTACTCTGATGATGATGCTACTACTAATACTGCTGCTGCTACTACTACTACTGCTGCTACTACTACTGATACTGCTAAGACATTTTGTTACTGCTACTACTTCTACAGCAAATTAAAAACAAAACTACACCACTCACTTGGTGAATCCAGGATGGGACAGTGTCTGATATCTTGCTCCCAATATTGAGAGTGAACATTACCTCCAGGTGCAGGAGAGCAGGACTGAGTATGAGAGTCCCACCCACAGTAAGGGTCTTGTGCATTCAGGCACAGCCTGCGATAATCAATCAATGAATCATTAATGAGCTGATATCACTGTACTCAGGACATTCTTTCGTCAGTAACAAACAAAGAGTCGACATGCTAACAGTAGCAGTTGCAACCTGTTTAAAAGTCAATGTTTACCCCTCAGTGTTGAAAGTCATCCCGACCCTCTACCCACCACCCGTTGAATTAGTCTTTTAATGTATGGATTCTCTGTCTGTTATATTGCTGCGTGGTCTTGAAGCATGGTGTCTGCCTCGAGTGCTAGAGGTTTCGAATTCAATCTCCGGTAAGGACTGGGATTTTTTCAAGTGGACTTGGACTGTTAGTAATTCCCCCTGGTCTCTAGGTACTGAGATCGGACGCCCGTGTGCATTGTTGCACACGTAAAAAAATCCCTTGGCAGTTGGAAATCAAAAAGAGAAGCCTAACGGCGCAGCCCAGGCAAAAATTTGGAGTTAAAAATCTACCCAAAGTTTACTCTGAGAAATGGATGTGTACGCAACACTCAGATTCTGAACAAGACTAACATCTAGAGGTGGACGAACACCCAGAACTTTCTGCCAGAGTTTACACTTGGTGAACATAGGAAAGAAGAAGAATATATGTGCCAGTCTCCAACAGCATTATCTGAGTGTTGCGTACACATCACATCCATGTCACAGATCTGGTGTATTTGTATGCAGAAAGTTGATTCCCTGACCCTCAGACAAATGTCGTGTGATATCTGAGATGCCCTCAATTAGTCAACTCTCGCCATATGATTTTTGGGGAGCCAGTGGGTCTATTCTTGTTTTCCCCAGGGCCTCGTAACCCACTCGGGGATCTGCAAGATATGAAAAGGCATGGTACCCTAAGATGGTCAGGAAAACTCTTGATTTCATACACATTCATATATACACATGTGCACGCACAAAGATATGTACATAATAAAGTATGTCAATATAAATATGTATGTGAATATGAATAAAGAACATAATAATGTATGTAAATATAAAGATGTATGTGAATATGAATAAAGAAAACTATGTCAATAAATATGCGGCGTCCGTGGCTTAGGTGTTGCGAGTCAACTCGTAATTCCAACGAACCGTGATCGAAACCCACTGCTGGCTGCGTGGTATGGGCATCGCAGGTCTACTCAGCCTCAAATGGGTACCAGAATGTATGTCCTGGCGTAATGCTGACCACATTATACACCTAGTGCCAATTGGTCTGTAAAAATATGGGTGCTTTTCCCATATGCCCGATGAGCCTAAGATGTAAAACGGGATCTTCACTCACTTCACTTCACTTTACTTGCATGTCAAAAAAATAAAGACAGGTAAAGTATTAACAGTTTAATGCATCAGTAATGAAAAGTATGTTGAAGATGAGGACAAGATGATAAAAACAAACTTACATGGCAGTTGTGAACCTGTTACATCGCTCCACTTGAACTTTCAAAATGTCGCCTTCTGTAGTGATGTAGATAGCACCCTGAAAAATAGGAGGACAAAAGTCAAATATTATAATTTTATCCTGTTGCTCTTTTCAGAAAAGTTATATCTAAAGGCATCTGAATTGAAAGAGTGAACCTGAAGTCAAAGTGCAGTTTGAGTGAGAGGCAAGGAACCAACAGTCTGCATACAAATAAGCCAAATCGATAAAATGGATGTGCACACAAAGCTCATGATCTTAAACATAACTAAAGTGCATAAATGGATGAACAACCACAATTTCTGCCAGAGAACTACAGAAGAAGAAGAAGAACAAGAAAAAGAAGAAGAAGAAGAAGAAGAATAAAAAGAAGAAGAAAACAAAGAAGAAGAAGAAGAAGAAGAAGGACGAGGAGGAGGAGGAGTAGAAGAAAGTAAGCTGGGCAGACATTAGTATAAATGAATCCATTCTGAAACACACCGGGTACAGCAACAATCTAGGGAACCTCGGTAGTGCAGTGGTTAGGTGCTCACCTGCCTGGCAAACCCTCTTGGGTTCAAATCCGCACCGAGGTAGATTTCTTGTTTTCGAAACTGGCCCTAGTCCCCAGGGTTCCATCACCCATCAAGTGTCAACTGGTCTTTCTTCTTCTTCTTCTTCTTCTTCTTCTTCTTCTTCTTCTTCTTCTTCTTCTTCTTCTTCTTCTTTTTGTTTGCGTCGGTCTCGTATACTTGGATCAGACCATCAGGTGAGTTGCCTCTATGAACTTGCATGTCAGTAGCAGGTAATTCATGTTTCCCCATAGCTTGCTCTGCACACTTTGCTCTTGAGGCCAGGTGTCTTTTTGTTGTTGTATGTAGAATGGGCACATCTGCAGAATATGCTCAGGTGTTTGTGATCCTGTTTGGCAGGCACACTGGGAGGACTGTACAATCTTTACTTTATGCATGTGGTAGTTGAGCCTGCAGTGTCCTGTTTGTAGATGGAAAATTGTTGTATGTTGCTTTCTGTTGAGTCTGCTTTCGATAGGGTCTTGTGGATGTTTACTGTTAGTTTGTTCTCTCCACGATCCCTAATATTTTCCCTTGATAAGTGTTCTGATTTCTGGTAATGACAATGAATGAGTGTGTTGTTTCTTCTTTGTTCTAATTTTTGCAAATCTCTCTGCCAACCTATTTCCTGGTATGCCGAACGATTTGACTGTTTTCTTTTAGTCTGTTTAGCTGGCAGGTCAGTTCTCTCTGGTGGGTCAGTTCTCTCTGGTGCGTCAGTTCTCTCTGGTGGGTCAGTTCTCTCTCCATGTTGTCTGAAGCCATTGGAACTGGAACTCTTCGCTTGCTGCTGAAGATGGGGGAAGGAGCGCTTATGGGAGTGTCCCGAATGCTAAAATTATTCAGCAGCTAGCTAAAAGTTCCAATTACATTGTACCAATAGCAGTTTGATTATATGTCAGTCTTGCCTTTCCTCTGAGTGTAAAGTATCAACTAAATCCCCTGGTAACTCCTAGTTATGCCATTATCTCCTGACCCTAATGATCCATTCATGCATCTGTGGTGTTCACTTACTCCCAAAGGGCCTTGACCACGTCTGGCCTGTTACATATAATTTCACCATCCTTTGATGCAGAACCAGAACATCTGTCTGCATGTTCACTTCCAAACAATGCAAGAGAACTTCACATGAAGTGACTGGAAACAGAGGACAGCAAGTCTCTGGACTGATTTACCTGATGAAGGTAATGATTGCCTTATTTACACCTTCCTACCACTGTATCCCCTTAAATGTGGATCATAGGCATGAATCACCAATAATCAAGCTGGCCACTGTCCACAACAACTTCTACAAACAAACATGGAAATACTATATGTTGCCCACTCTCTAATGATCCATGACGAAGTGGGTCCACCTGCAAATTTTGTTTTCCATGTTCAATATACATTCTTCTGTGCTTTCATTTTAATTTTTTTTCCTTAGCCAAAGGATTTTCCTGTCTTCATCTTCTCAATATATCCCGTTCCCTCATCCATGCAGAACCCTTGGAGAGACAATTATCATAAAGCACAAATTGTAAAGTGCTGCTGCAATAGTATTTTGTGGTGATAACCAGCACCTTTTAAAGACACTTTGTGGTGATTAGCACTAACATTTGTTTTTTCTAGGAAAAAGTCCCTGTATGTGCCAAATCCTAAAAATGGCAAAATATTTGATGATTCGTCACTGATATAAGTGGTTTCTAATGGCTTGTACGCGTACAAATGTAATGTTGGTGTAATGTTAATCACAACACACACTGAGCGATGACTGATCTACAGGGTGTCTCATAAGTTTCTATACACAGGAAAAATAAATACATCAGCAACGGCATACAATCGTAACTCCAGCAGTGGCGGACGTGCACTAAAATGTGTTTCCATAACAATGGTATTTTTCCTTTGTATGGACACTTATAAGACATTTGTATTCAAATATAGTTCTAGAACTTCTCTCTGATGTGCCAGAGGTCAGAAAAAGGCCCCTTACTCTGCAGCACGGCCAGCTCCAGACATAAAGCCGTACAACTCAAACAGTAATTCCAGTTTTTGTGAGGCTGGCGTGGCTCCTCGGTGGTAACAATTGTTATCGAGCAGATTTATACATAAATTGAACTACAATTTAATTAATTTGTAATACATGTTATTGAATGAACCATTATTTTGAAGATAAATAAATTGGCTATTAGAAAATATTTATCTTCAAGATGATAATTCAATCAATAACATATGTTACAAATTAATTAAACTGTAATTCAATTTGTGTATATAAATCCACTCGATAACAATAGTTACCACCAACCGGCCACACCAGCCTCACAAAAACGGGATTACCCGTTTGAGCTTTATGACCTTATAACAGGAGCGGGCTGTGCTCTGTAGCAAAGAAAAAAGTACATACTTTTCTGGATGATAACCTCATGTTGGTTACTGGCCTTGGACGACCGTTTGAAACAATTTTGATTTCCTCGATGAGACAGGTTTTGTCAGTCCCTGGCAGCCGCAGCATCTTGCGAAGTTTCCCGTCTTCTGTGGCCAGAAAGAGAACATCCTGTAGGTGGAGTTTGGTGGGAACATGATCCACGACAATGTGGGTCCACCTGCAAATTTTGTTTTTCATGTTAAATTTATATTCTATTGTGCCTTCAATTTAATGTTTTGTTTTCTTAGCCAAAATATTAGGCTCTCAAGTGCTGCAGATTATCTTACAGGTAGAAGTATTGTGGTGTCTTAACTATATAAAGTATTCAAAGATTATTAATTTAACTAATCATATCTCCTACCTGATAAATATATGCATTATCTGGTACCAAGTGTACAGGTAAGAACTAGATACTCATAACTTCTACACAATAGATCAATGTTGGTTACGTGCCAAGTCTGGCATAAGTATGTATATATATATATATATATATATATATATATATATATGTGTATATGTATGTATGTATATATATGTGTGTGTGTATATATATGCTTTCATAGGTATATTGGGTAAATAGTGCTCGACCTTCATTTTATAGACCAATCAGCACTCAGTGGGTGATGTGGTCAACATCATACCGGCCGCCTTTACTTCTCAGGACTTTACCTGGAACCCATTTTAGGCTGGGTTGGCTGACGGGAGCCAAGATAATTTCTGAAGTTAAAAAAATCCGGCTTCTGCGGATTCGAACCCCCAACCTTTGAGACAAGTGACTAGTATCTAGCCATTATATCACATCTACTGGCCCTAGTAGCAACCCTCAGGTTGGGGTGAACGGTTGTTCCTGTTGGCCACATTATCCCTAACCTCTGTGGCACATTCTCAGCCATCTTGTGTGACGCTCTACAAAGCTTACTTTGGATGTTGGCAACTATTGCCAGTCTTGGATGAAGTCTGAATTGTTGACCTGATTATGTTATGTCAGGTGGTTAAAGAAAAATCATTTTGCAAGATTGCTGCGTCTGCCATCATGACTTTTTTTTTTTCTATCTCTACAAGACATCTTTCACCGACGGTGTTAACCACAGACTTACCCAGTGCCGATTGAATTCTTCTTCTTCCTCTGTGATCAATGTTTGCTATGTGTGGATTACAATGTGGGTTGTAAATAGGACGGCGCACTTGAGGTCTTCACCGGTGCAACATAGTTTTTTTATGTAGGGCTGTTGCCATGGGCCAGATTTTTTAATCTCTGACTGGCAAAGACGAGCTCTGGAATTTGATTTGGTGAGCCACAACATGCAGCAGTTAGCGAGATCCATTCCATGTTGGCATGCTCTAAATTGTGTTCTGAGGTTGATCATTTTAGTCACAGCCTTTCTGCCAAACTTGACTGACCTTTAACCCCACAAGGACAGCACAACGAGGGATAAACACAAAGTGCCACCATTTGGTCATATTAAAGGTCCCGACACCAGCCGAGAAGGGGCTTTAAAAAAGCGTCCTACATTTAGGATGAAATAACCCTGTCAAGCTTGCTTATATTGCCATGCTCTGGTCTTAACTGTTATTTATAACTAGTCTATAAAAAAATTTAAAAATTCTCATACGCCCACTGGCATAAAAAAAGGACCTTTATTATACTTTCACTTTTATGATAAAACTATCAAAGCGTTGGAAGGCAGTGCTGAACCAAAGAATCACCTGACTGATGTAAAAGTGAATCAAAATGTTGATAAATCATAGATAAATCACTGGTTCAGATGAACAATTGAAAGACACTTGAAAAATGATATTAGATAAGTTTTACTTTTACCTTTCGTTTTCTCTCATGATTAGGGGCCCTGTTTCGCGGGACTGAACGGCTCGATCCATGAGCTGATATTTCTTGGCTGCCATCAGGAAGTCTGTCGACTGTTCCGAGGACCGCTTGCTGTTGGAGTTCTGACTCTCACACTGTCAATGAGAAAAAAAGAAGAAGCTGTGTAAGTATAGTAAAAAAGTAAAGGACCTTTTTCCACGCCTTTAGGCGTAGAGGGCTAGACCTATATTTTTATAGACCAGTCGGCACACAATGGGTGATGTGCTCAGCATCACGCCGGCCGCCTTTACTTTCCCGGGACAGAAGCTGTATACTAGAATATTTTCAGTGATAATCTGAGCTTAACCAAGGGACATAAAGCATACATGTACAACTAAGAGTTTTGTATTTCCAAAGTTGTCTACCGTAGACAGATTTCTAACTCGGGGAAGCGGTCCATCTGTTTGACCTCGGGCTCCGAAGATTTGGAGTTCTTCCTTTTTTTCTATCTGTCATTTATTCGTTTTCTTCTGTCTCTTCTCCTTCTCTTTTTCGCTCAATACACAATCGGAGTCTGCCAGATCTCTAATTTTCATGCCTTACTAATACAATTGGTAAGATATGACTGAGCTTCCGCATTACAGCAATCAGCTCCATCTGTTCCCCCCCCCCCCCCTCTCGCAAATTTTGTACTGCGTATATCAAACTTGACATCCCACACGAAGGACCGCTTTGGTGAGGATACTAACCGTACTCTAGGAATAGGAAATGCAGCCTGAAAACTTAAGTAATGGAAGGGCAGACCAAACCTTTAGTCTTTGCTGGCAGCTCGACTAAGAAGGAAGCTCCGATAGACGGAGAGACAGAACACTGCTCTCCTGATCCGACAGCTTCTGCATGGTGCTTTCTTCCAGACGCATTGATGTTACCTTTCCGCTGGAGTAAACAAGGCAGACTGGGCGAGGAATCATGATGCAACACATGGTCTCTACAATACTGTTAGGCCTTTGAGCTATATCTGTAGTGCCAAATAAATGAAGCCAGATCTGTAGTGCTGGTGCCAAATAAATGAAGCCAGATCTTTAGTGCTGGTGCCAAAGAAATTAAGCTAGATCTTTAGTGCTGGTGCCAAAGAAATGAAGTCTGATCTTTAGTGCTAGTGCCAAAAAAAATTTAACCCAGATTTTTAGTGCTGGTGCCAAAGAAATGAAGCCAGATCTTTAGTGTGGTGCCAAAGAAATGAAGTCAGATCTTTAGTGCTGGTGGGCAAGAAATGAAACCAGATCTTTAGTGCTGGTGCCAAAGAAATGAAGCCAGATCTTTAATGCGAAATAAATATAGCCGGGTCTGGGGTGCCAAAGAAATAAAGTTAGATCTGTGATGCCAAAGAAACGAAACCCGATCTGACCAGATAACATGTCAAACAGAAATCAGCCTATGAATTAATCAAGTAACAGAAAGTATTGTGAACGGCACTCATAGAAAGAAGTAGAAAGATAGAAGAACACACTAGACAACATAAAAATCGAAAGCTATAGTTACCGTGCCGGGAATTGAACCTGTCACCTCCAGACGGCGTCTGCGCCTCGCCATGAATACAAGTGCACTAAGATACATGGTCAACTCGGCACCCCCAAAAAAGGTGTCTCATTGGCCATGTCTATCGTACAGCTTGAAATCCACGACTATGGAATACGGACAGAATTCATTTCAACCCATTGAAATGGCACCATAGGTTACAGAAATTTATATTAACGAGGCAAATGTCAAATAACAATCACAGCAACAATTTACGTACACAGTAGACCTTATTCTACTTCTTTCTATGAGTGCCGTTCACAATACTTTCTGTTACTTGATTAATTCATAATATTTAACGGCTTCAAATGGTTCCCCTCTCTGTTTATTTATAGGAATGACGTATACACACCGGAACCTACCAATCAAATACCTTTCTTAAATGTTTGTGTATTCTAGACAGGGCAATAAGGTCTACTGTGTACGTAAATTGTTGCTGTGATTGTTATTTGACATTTGCCTCGTTAATATAAATTTCTGTAACCTATGGTGCCATTTCAATGGGTTGAAATGAATTCTGTCCGTATTCCATAGTCGTGGATTTCAAGCTGTACGATAGACATGGCCAATGAGACACCTTTTTTGGGGGTGCCGAGTTGACCATGTATCTTAGTGCACTTGTATTCATGGCGAGGCGCAGACGCCGTCTGGAGGTGACAGGTTCAATTCCCGGCACGGTAACTATAGCTTTCGATTTTTATGTTGTCTAGTGTGTTCTTCTATCTTTCTACTTCTTTCTATGAGTGCCGTTCACAATACTTTCTGTTACTTGATTAATTCATAATATTTAACGGCTTCAAATGGTTCCCCTCTCTGTTTATTTATAGAAATCAGCCTAACATGTCAAACAGAAATCAGCCACTTACCCTCCCATGTACAAAGTTGTTTTCATTCATCTGCCAGGCTGCCGACGGCCCTTCCTGAAATTTGAAAGGACCGTCGAAGGAGTCGGTCAATGCCGTCATGTTGTAAACGCAAACAGCAGAGCCAGCAATGCTGTTTCTGTAAAACCAAATGTAAACATGACTTATGTAAGAGAAGAATTTCTATAGGATGTAAACATGACTTATGTAAGAGAAGAGTGTGTATAAGATGTAAACATGACTTATGTAAGAGAAGAGTTTGTATCAGATGTAAACATGACTTATGTAAGAAAAGAGTTTCTATCAGATGTAAACATGACTTATGTAAGAGAAGAGTTTGTATCAGATGTAAACATGACTTATGTAAGAGAAGAGTTTGTATCAGATGTAAACATGACTCATGTAAGAGAAGAGTTTCTATCAGATGTAAAGATGACTTATGTAAGAGAAGACTTTCTATCAGATGTAAAGATGACTTATGTAAGAGAAGAGTTTCTATCAGATGTAAACATGACTTATGTACGAAAAGAGTTTGTATCAGATGTAAACATGACTTATGTAAGAGAAGAGTTTCTATCAGATGTAAACATGACTTATGTAAGAGAAGAGTTTGTTTCAGATGTAAACATGACTTATGTAAGAAAAGAGTTTGTATCAGATGTAAACATGACTTATGTAAGAGAAGAGTTTCTATCAGATGTAAACATGACTTATGTAAGAGAAGAGTGTGTATCAGATGTAAACATGACTTGTGTAAGAGAAGAGCTTCTATCAGATGTAAACATGACTTATGTACGAAAAGAGTTTGTATCAGATGTAAACATGACTTATGTAAGAGAAGAACTTCTATCAGATGTAAACATGACTTATGTAAGAGAAGAGCTTCTATCAGATGTAAACATGACTTATGTAAGAGAAGAGTTTCTATCATATGTAAACATGACTTATGTAAGAGAAGAGTTTCTATCAGATGTAAACATGACTTATGGAAGAAAAGAGTTTCTATCAGATATAAACATGACTTATGTAAGAGAAGAGTTTCTATCAGATGTAAACATGACTTATGTAAGAGAAGAGTTTCTATCAGATGTAAACATGACTTATGGAAGAAAAGAGTTTCTATCAGATGTAAACATGACTTATGTAAGAAAAGTTGTAAACATGACTTATGTAAGAAAAGTTGTAAACATGACTTATGTAAGAGAAGTTGTAAACATGACTTATGTAAGAGAAGAGTTTCTATCAGATGTAAACATGACTTATGTAAGAAAAGTTGTCAACATGACTTATGTAAGAAAAGAGTTTCTATCAGATGTAAACATGACTTATGGAAGAAAAGTTGTAAACATGACTTATGTAAGAGAAGAGATTCTATCAGATGTAAACATGACTTATGTAAGAAAATTTGTAAACATGACTTATGTAAGAGAAGAGTTTCTATCAGATGTAAACATGACTTATGTAAGAGAAGAGTTTCTATCAGATGTAAACATGACTTATGCAAGAGAAGAGTGTGTATCAGTAGCTGACAAAAATGCACTTAGCAAATCGTCAAGCTGCATCGGTTTGGGGAGATAGCTGACGAACAGCCATTGAACAAAACTACAAGCTTTATCAGTTTGGTTGCGTTAAGGGATCACTTTCAGTTAATCAAATGATCAATCAGTGATCGGTCTCAGTTATTCAAACGATCAATCAGTGATCGGTCGGATGCCGGTTGCACGACGGAGGTTAGCTGCAGTGGTTCTCTAAGACTCTTCCAGTTTGTTTTCCTGAGAATAGAAAAGTCTTCGTTAATTTTGTCTCTTGTTTTGGGAGGCTCTCTCAGTCCTTTATTCGTCCATCTTTTATTATTAAGATGGGAGTGGGATGGAGGAAGAAGAGGAGGAAGGATTAAGGGAGAGGATGATGATGTTGATGATAATTATGATGACAATGATGATAATAATAATAATAATAATAATAATAATAATAATAATAATAATAATAATAATAATAATAATAATAATAAGAAGAAGATGATGAAGAATAAGGAGGGGGGATGAGGAAGAGAAGAAAAAGAGAACACAGAGAAATAATAAAAAAAAAGTAAGTAAAAAGATTTCAAATATGAAAGTCGCCAGCCAAACTCCCAAGCCGTTGAAAAAAAAAAAAAAAAAAAAAAAAAAACATAAAAGCCAGAGCATGTACAGGTACACAGCTGTCAACAAACAAACAGACAGATGCTTACTGTGGGGTAGAAAAAACCGCATAAATGAGTTCCTCATCTTCAGAGTAGAAAGTCCCGTGCAGTTCGTCGAAATAAAAAGGAAAGTTCCCGGGCAACGAACAATTGAGCCTGGCTTTGTGGTAAGAGGTCCAAATATGTTGTAAGGAGAAGGAGCCTCCTTTGTCGTTCTAGAACAGAGTCAAGATAGGATCAGTGGCAATTTCACACACAAAAAAGGGGGAGGAAAGGGGGATGCCCAGAAATTTTGAAATTATATTTGTTTTTATAATGATCTGTTACCCAGGAGAGCCCTGCATTCAGCCAGCAGCTCCTCTTAGCGTTCAACGCTGTAAACTGGGGCGAAAAGTACCAGTTGTTCGACCACTTTGGTTTTATTCCACAACTTGAGTTTTGCGTGCCCATCCGTTCCGCATATCTGGCTTTTCTGTGCACACACTGTTGGTGTTTCGCCTCTCAGGCTGATACACCCTGACCTCGAATGAAACACCCGTAATTTGTCATCTTGAACTAAATACTTGTTAGGGGGCACTAGGTCTGCCCCCTCCACCCACCCCCACTTCACGCGCCGCACCCCACCCCTCGCACTGCACCCCCAGCCCTCGAGCCGTCTCCCACTCCTCGCGCCGCCCCCCACTCCTCGCGCCGCCCCCAACACTCCTCGCGCCGCTCCCCACGACTCCTCGCGCCGCCCCCCCCCCACTTCTCGCACCGCACCCCCACTCCTCGCGCCGCCTCCCCCCTCCTCGCGCCGCCTCCCCCACTCATCGCGCCGCCCCTACTCCTCGCTCCGCACCCACACCCTCGCGCCGCACACCCCTTTCTAGACCTCTGACGCCATGAATGTTAAACTGATTTAGAAGAAAAAAATTCCTGGATGTTAAATGTAAGTAACTAGAAATGATCAATACACTCTAAAAGTTCAACTGACCTTACACACACGAGCCATCCGGGAGTAGATCCTCTGTGGAAGAAAAGAAAAACATGTCACCTGATAGCCGTATATTTTATTCATGTGATTTAATTAGCCTCAAGAGGGATATTCTGAATAAAAATAGCCGCAGATTAAGGTAAGAAACAATTAACATGAACAAAATGTTGATCCCAGGAGGGATTTATAATTCATAATACATCTATAAGTCCGCGGTTTGAACGATTTGTTTGATTTTGTTAACACAAACTCTTGATTTATTTTTCGCTTGGAATTCGTATTAATGTGGTTTTAAGGGGAGGTCATAAAAGGATAGGGAGTCGCCGTGGCCGAGCGGCTAGACGCTCGCCGCGGATCAGAAGGTCGTGGGTTCGCTCCCTGGCGGAGCTGGACTTCTTTTTTACAAATGACCTCGATTCCCATGTCGATCCAGCCTTGAGTGGGTACCGGGTGCAGTCCCAGGAAAGTAAAGGCGGCCGGCGTGATGCTGACCACATTACCCATCTTGTGCCGATTGGTCTATAAAAATATAGGTCTATCCTATACGTCTAAAAGCGTGGAAAGGGCCCCAAACTTTACTTATAGGAGAAGAGAGGCAGACCAAGAGAGACGGCGTTTGGGTCTTTTGGATTTAGAGAGGATTATATGACTATGGAAATCTTCTTCTTGGCGTTCACCAGCTGTAAACTCCGGTCGAAAGTTCCAGCCTTTGGTCTTGTTCCAGAACCTGAGTGGTGTGTGCACATCCGTTTCACAGATCTGGCTTATTTATGCAGACTCTTGGTTCCTGGTCTCTTAGGCAGATGCATTCTGACTTCGTAGGGTGCTCCCAATTAGTCAACTCCTACTACAGGATTTTTGAGGCGGTTTGGGACTTTTGTTTTTGTTTTCCCTACAATAGGGCCCCGGAACCCACACTAGAAATGATTGACATTAGAGGAGACTGGATGCAATGGTCAAAGATCGTTACTAACGCCACGCTTCATGAACTATGATTATGAGAATGAGAGTACAAATAGATTAATCTTGATTACATTGATTACTGCTACTACACAGAAAACACGACCAGCTTCTTGTTTCGGAGGTTGAATGGGTATCAGTGTTTTCGCTCGGTTGGATTGCCATTCTGGATGTGACCCTTGATGTCACACTGGTGTTGGAACGTTCAGAACGCAGTCGGGAGGGGTGTAACAAACAGACGAGAAAGGTTTTCTAGAAACAGAGCAGGGATCGACTAGCTGCATAGGGGCACAGGACATTAACGACACGTTATCCGAGAAGATGTACTAGGCCACGAAAGATGTCAAATGCGGTGCCATACAGTCAGGGTTTGATGCTTATGACGGCTTTTAAACAGGGCTGCCAAATGGATTTTGTTGAAAAAACCCAGCTCAGCTGAACAAAAACCCAAGCAATATAAAGAAGAAAAAAACCTAGATTGTTAAAATATACAAAATGTATAGTTACGAAACGAAACATTTACCACTTTTATATAAGGATATATTTAAAAAAAAAAGTTTTCACAAGGCGTCGCACAAGAAAACCCCAGATCTGGGGGAAAAACTCAGCATTGGTAGCCCTGCCTGTAACTGAACTGACTGAATTTCTACCCCACCAGGACATCACACAAGCGATAAACACCCGATGACACAAAAGTGTCACCATGTGGATGAGGATCGCCGTGGAGAGGTCCCAGAAACCGCGTTCAGACAATTGGCCACATTTATGGCCTGTCTATATTGCGGCCCCTGTCAAAAGCCAGGGTGGGGCTTCAAATAACAAAAAATTTCATCCTAAAAAGGACAAAACTAGATAATAGCTAACGCTAGTAGCCCTGCCTGTAAAGGACCTAAAGCCGAATAACCCAGCTCTACAATTTACCTTTCCACAGTTGATGTATTCCACCGCCGTCTCACGGAAGAAAAAGTACACGAAGTTGTTGATTTCATAGGCGGAGACGAAGTTGGGTTCTGCAAACAAATAAAGTGTGTGGCAAAACAGTGTTTATAGTAGTCGACTAAAGACCATATTACTTATTGTACTTGTATATTACTAGCGTGGTGTCACTGTGGCGACAGGAACATATACAAAATCATCAGAGGTTCTACAAACATACGTATCTTTGAAACCTCAGCATCTCTCCCTCTCTCTCTCATTTATTCACAGAATCACTTTCATCGATCTTTCTTGCTTTCTCTTTCCCTATTATGCTGCTGATTCGTTCTTTCACCTTCCTCCCTCTCTCATGTCCTATCTCTGTTTCTTTCTTGTCTTTGGCATCAGCACATATCTATCACAATGTATTTTTAGTTTACTATAACTCTCTCCCTGACTCATACTTTCTCTAACTACCACATCTTTTCCACCCCCATCCCCACCGTTTTCTCCAATTCTCTCTCTGACACTAAACTTCTGTGATTTCTCTGAGGCTGAATCCTTCTCTCTGACCGCCAACCTCTATGCTGAGAGGAGGATGAGAAGAGGAGGAGGAGAAGAAGAAGAAGAAGAAGAAGAAGAAGAAGAAGAAGAAGAAGAAGAAGAAGAAGAAGAAGAAGAGGAAGAAGAAGAAGAAGAAAAATAAGAAGAAGAAGAAGAAGAAGAAGAAGGAAAAAAGAAGAAGAAAAAGAAGAGGAAGTAGTAGTAGTAGTAGTAGTAGTAGTAGCAGCAGCAGCAGTAGGAGTAGCAGTAGTATTAGTAGTATCATTAGTACTAGCAAAAATTAGTAGTAGTAGTATTAGTATTATTATTAGTAGTAGTAGCAGCGGCAGTATTTTTTTTTTAAGTATCCAGAAGCCATAAGTTGTTAACCCTTAGGCTCGGTATTTTGGATATCGCAACCTGTCGGCCTTGATTCCATTGTAAATACCGTAAATCTGGGAGAAATGTGGCTTTTCTGCCTACCCCAGGAGTGAACCCGGACGACAAGGAGTTCGTCACCTGGTCACCGCGCAATCCGGTTTAGCCAACTACGCTAGAGAGCCGGGCAGCGACAGTATAAGTAATAGGAGAAGTAGCAGCAGCAGCAGTAGATGGTGCTGTGCAATAGTAGTCGAGGTAACACTAGCCAGCAGTAATCACCATAGCGCCAGTACAGTTATTTATTATCTGACCAAACCCTTATAAAAACATTTGTATAAAACACCAGGAAGGCTCACCATTCAACCATTTGGAGTCATGCTGCATGGTTCGGAGTCCCACAGGAGCCAGCCGTCGGGTGATGACCGGATCCCTGGCGGAGAAATCGATCACCGTGGCGGCGTAGAGAAACCCGTCTGAGGTCATCAAAGCAGTAGCGTTGTAGTCTGGGCTAAAGGGGCACATCCCTCGGCCGTCCACGGAGTTTGTTACCTGTGCCAGGTGGCTCACCTGAGGGACCAAGTCCAGGCAAACAATAGATGAGACTCTTTAAAAATTCATATTTGAAAGGAGTGGTTGAGGGCAAAGAGCGAGAGACGTAGGCATCGATGCAAGTGGGAGGTCAACATCAAGAGATGGACGAACAGCAGTCTGGGTGAGTGTACAACCAAGATGAGAGACATAGTGTTGGAGATTCATAGCAGCCAACCTTCAATGTGGAGATGGCACCTGATTGATTGAGTGAGTTAAAGCACTCACTTGAGGCTTTGTCTCTTTCTTTGCGCTGGCTCTATTCTGTCTTTCAGCGTTAGGGTAGTATTTACCTTCTTGTTAGAGCGAAGTTGAAAAAAAACAAAAAGGTAAAGGGATGACAGAATGAATACAAAAAAAAATGACACCACTGTACTCGGGACATTCCCACACGTGCTCCGTCTCCTTGCTCAGTAACCAACGAAGTGTTTACATGATAACAGTAGCAACTGAAACCTGATTAAATGTCCCACTCAGTGCTGAATGTTTTTCAAACCTCTACTCACCCTTCCCCAACCCCTGTCACCTTTTTCCTGTTCAACTGGTCCTCTCATGTGCGGATTCTCTGTCTATTCTATTGCACTGTTTTTAAAAAATCAAAAACAGTCTTCGCCACGTCCACTTGATCATAAAGTAGGTCAGCGCCTATGTGGGTTAACCCAGTATGTCAAAAATGTTTGATGGTGGTAAGTTCGACGTTAGTCTCCCCCAGGCCCCGTCCATATACATATGAGCTCACTTCTGATTGGTAGTTCCTGAGCCCAGTGACCTTCGCACACGGTTACAGAGGTGTTCCAGAATGCCTTTGATATCGCGTTTTATAATACAGCACGCCAGTGCTTTTAACAATCCAAAAACATAAAGAAACTGGTTGTAACACAACCCCCCTAGAGAGTGCTATAACCTATATCACAGGTATTCTCTTTCTCTGAATGAAAACATAAATGCAAGACATCGGAGAAACCAAACAACAGAGCGGGACACACCCATACCTTTCAGGAATGTCGACCAGCTCAACAAACATGTGAATGAAAAGTGACCTACTCTATTTGGGGAGATTAACGTCGAACTAACCCCGATGATAACCTCCTTAAGCTGTGACTGAGAGTCAGTTTTGATGTTTGTCTCAAAGTTGAACCACAGTAGGTCATCTTAGAGATGGTTCGACAACTTCTACTTTTGTTAAAATTATGAATGTAATCGAATCATTGAACATTTTAAACTCTGGTACTGTAACTTAATCACACAATATTATTTTATATCACAAGGTGTCAAAGATATATGAGGGAAAGTCACCAACCAAATTCAATTGTATGAATAAGATTTTTTTTTTTTAAACAAGCAGTGCAACAAAATTGATTTAATTCGACGTTAGTTTCCCCAAACAAAGTAGGTCACCTTCCATTGATTACTTCTTGGGACTGGTCTACTTTTGGGGGTGTTACGGGTGTGCCGCGTATTGTTTGCTTTCTGGCTTGTCTTGCATTTACGTTTTTCTTCCGAGAAAGAGAATGCCTGTAACATTAGTTGCAGCACTTTCTAAGGGGTTGTGTATTAGACCCAGTTTCTCCATGTTTATGTAGTGTTAAAAGCGCTGGCGTGCTGAAATATTTAACATGCGATATCACTGCAGAACACCCCCGTTGCAGTGTGCGAAGGACGCGCGACTCATGAACTACCAATCAGAAGTGAGCTAGTGTGTATATGGAAAGGCTCTGAGGGGGAAAGGGGGGGGGGGGAACAATCTGTGTTCTGTGTCCCATTTTCCTCAGACAGTCTCCCTGCCTGGCAACACATGTAGTCCACCGATCCACACAATTGTGGATACCCGTCAGGCAGAAGCCTTTCTGGTGTGGCCAGTGACCAAGTTTGACCACCAACATTACCTCATCGTTATCTGCTAACCCCTGACCTCTCCAATGATCTTTCAATGGGCCAAACAAATGGAGGTCCGCTGCTGCCAAGTCAGGGCTGTGTGCTGGGTGTTTCAGTGCTTCAAACCTCTAAGTCTGTAATGTATCCACTGTATTCGCAGCCGTGTGAGGCGGGCGTTGTCGTGCAGCAACAAAACTTCGTTTTAGAGAAGACCCCAACGTTTCGATCAGATCGTGGGCTTCAACTTTTTAGTTAACATACTCCTAAATCGTTATGACACCTACGCTGGGTATTGCAATAGGGTCATTCTGTGTCCTAAAAACTTTTTTTTTCCTGCATACTGCTCTACGCAGACTAGGAGACAACTCTCTTTACTTACTCGTGTATAATGTAGGAGTTAGGCAACCAATGACAAGCTACAACGGGCACTTACATTTCTCCAGGTGCAGACCGGGGTGAATGCATTTGTCCCACACGTGAACACTTCATCGTTTTCATTGGTCAAGATAAGAACTCGCACAAAATTACGACAGGCGTTCTAAAGAGGAAACCAACAGAAGACAAATCAGTTTCCGGAGTTGGCGGAACAAAATCGGTTAAAGAACAATGGTTATTGTGTTTCACAGATATATATATATTAAAGCTGTAATCATTATTATTATACAAATAGTGCTGTAGGAATGTTTCAAATTCTTACCACCATCACTATTATTACTACTACTAACAAAACTAGCACTATCCCATTACTACTACTGTCACCACCAACACATCCCCACCACGACAATAACCACTACTACCTCAACCACGACTGCCGCCTCCGAGATACTTCTGCTGCTACTACTATTATTAATACTGCTACAACAACCATCCTCACTAAAACTACCACTAATACTATTTTATATCACTATCAAATATGGTTTAACTATTTGTACTAAACTAATAGTGCTTCGTCTATAATACTTCTTTTACTCCTAATAATTGTTATAGTATTCCTTCTTCTTTTCGTCCATCATTATTATCGTCCGGCATCCCTACGTGTCGTTGGGTCGCCACCTCTTCTTATATTTCATATTTCTCCCCTGCTCCCTCCTTCACCCTCTTCTGCTGTATAACGACAACAACACTACAACGGACAAATAAACACCTCAGTCTGTCCTTTATTCCTGCAGCCGATGTCTCTGACGTTTATTGATAGAGACTCTGTGACCACTCGTTTATTGATAAGAGAATCCTTTATTGGATAGGGAGTCTCTGTGACACAGTTTATTGATAGGGAGTCTCTGTGACACAGTTTATTGATAGGAAGTCTCTGTGACACAGTTTATTGATAGGGAGTCTCTGTGACACAGTTTATTGAACATCTGTGGGAACAAGTTTATTGATAGAGAAAACATGTGACACAGACCCCAGAGAAACTAACACAGTTTATTGATGGAGGGAATCTCTCTGTGACACAGTTTATTGATTGATAGGAAAGTCTCTGTGACACAGATTATAACCTTACTGTGACACAGTTTTTATTGATAGGGAGTCTCTGTGACACAGTTTATTGATAGGGAGTCTCTGTGACACAGTTTATTGATAGGAAGTGACACAGTTTATTGATAGGAAGTCTCTGTGACACAGTTTATTGATAGGGAGTCTCTGTGACACAGTTTATTGATAGGGAGTCTCTGTGACACAGTTTATTGATAGGGAGTCTCTGTGACACAGTTTATTGATAGGGAGTCTCTGTGACACAGTTTATTGATAGGGAGTCTCTGTGACACAGTTTATTGATAGGGAGTCTATGACACAGTTTATTGATAGGGAGTCTCTGTGACACAGTTTATTGATAGGAAGTCTCTGTGACACAGTTTATTGATAGGGAGTCTCTGTGACACAGTTTATTGATAGGAAGTCTCTGTGACACAGTTTATTGATAGGAAGTCTCTGTGACACAGTTTATTGATAGAGAGTCTCTGTGACACAGTTTATTGATAGGGAAGTCTCCGTGACACAGTTTATTGATAGGAAGTCTCTGTGACACAGTTTATTGATAGGAAGTCTCTGTGACACAGTTTATTGATAGGAAGTCTCTGTGACACAGTTTATTGATAGGGAGTCTCTGTGACACAGTTTATTGATAGGGAGTCTCTGTGACACAGTTTATTGATAGGAGTCTCTGTGACACAGTTTATTGATAGGGAGTCTCTGTGACACAGTTTATTGATAGAGAGTCTCTGTGACACAGTTTATTGATAGAGAGTCTCTGTGACACAGTTTATTGATAGAGAGTCTCTGTGACACAGTTTATTGATAGAGAGTCTCTGTGACACAGTTTATTGATAGAGAGTCTCTGTGACACAGTTTATTGATAGAGAGTCTCTGTGACACAGTTTATTGATAGAGAATCTCTCTGTGACACAGTTTATTGATAGGAAGTCTCTGTGACACAGATTATTGATAGAGAGTCTATGTGACACAGTTTATTGATAGGGAGTCTCTGTGACACAGTTTATTGATAGGGAGTCTCTGTGACACAGTTTATTGATAGGAAGTCTCTGTGACACAGTTTATTGATAGGAAGTCTCTGTGACACAGTTTATTGATAGGAAGTCTCTGTGACACAGTTTATTGATAGGAAGTCTCTGTGACACAGTTTATTGATAGGAAGTCTCTGTGACACAGTTTATTGATAGGAAGTCTCTGTGACACAGTTTATTGATAGGAACACAGTCTCTGTGACACAGTTTATTGATAGGAGTCTCTGTGACACAGTTTATTGATAGGAAGTCTCTGTGACACAGTTTATAGGGAAGTCTCTGTGACACAGTTATATAGGAAGTCTCTGTGACACACAGTTTATTGATAGGGAAGTCTCTGTGACACAGTTTATTGATAGGAAGTCTCTGTGACACAGTTTATTGATAGGGAAGTCTCTGTGACACAGTTTATTGATAGGAGGAAGTCTCTGTGACACAGTTTATTGATAGGGAGTCTTTTTTTTGACCAGCTGTATTGAAGGAAGTCTCTGGCGGAAGGTCTCTGGTGATGCTCGCCCACTACTGAACTGCAGCCACTGCTCCAGAACCTGAGTGTTGCGTGTGACATCAGTTTTACAGATCTCATTCTCTCTGAATACAGACTGTTTATTGATTGCCTCTCCGGCAGATGCACTCCGACTTCAAAGGAAGCTCCCCAATTAGTCGACTCTTACGACATGCTTTTGGAGAGGCAGTGGGTCTATTCTTGTTTTCCCCACAATGGGGCCCCGGAACCCACACGGGGGACACAGTTTATTGATAGGAAGTCTCTGTGACACAGTTTATTGATAGGGAGTCTCTGTGACACAGTTTATTGATAGGAAGTCTCTGTGACACAGTTTATTGATAGGGAGTCTCTGTGACACAGTTTATTGATAGAGAGTCTCTGTGACACAGTTTATTGATAGAGAGTCTCTGTGACACAGTTTATTGATAGGGAGTCTCGGTGACACAGTTTATTGATAGAGAGTCTCTGTGACACAGTTTATTGATAGAGAATCTCTGTGACACAGTTTATTGATAGAGAATCTCTGTGACACAGTTTATTGATAGAGAATCTCTGTGACACTGTTTATTGATAGAGAGTCTCTGTGACACAGTTTATTGATAGAGAATCTCTGTGACACAGTTTATTGATAGAGAATCTCTGTGACACAGTTTATTGATAGAGAATCTCTGTGACACAGTTTATTGATAGAGAATCTCTGTGACACAGTTTATTGATAGAGAGTCTATGTGACACAGTTTTTTTAATATTATGAGTGTCTGTGACACAGCTGATGTATAGGAAGTCTCTGTGATACATGACAAATAAAACGAGAAATATCACAAATGACATGACGTACAATATGACATACGTAAGAATCTTTAAATAGAGAGCCATGTAGATACAGAACGATCATCAGAAGGTGATTCGCAGGAAGAGCTGGGCAGAGATAATCAAGGAGGAAGTGTTAGGCTGCGCAAGACACAACACATTTATATACCATCTGTCAAATCAGCGGAAAGGTAAACATGCACTTAGATCCTTGTCAGCGATCCGGAGTTCATGCACTGTACTGAGTCAACTGGGCAGAGGCGGTGGTGTAGCGACTAAATGGTCCGAAGGTCGTGGGTATCCAGTCGGATGTTTTTCACCTCTAAAAATGACCTAGCCTAAAATGGCTCAAAGATGACGTCTCTAGAAGTAAAGACGGCCGGCGGGATGTTGATCACATCACCTTTTGAGTGCCAACGATTTTATACAAATATTAGTCTAATATTGTTATGCCACTGGCTTGACAATCTTTTTATTTAACTAGATGACACCTGTTCATAAACCTCCAGATATCAAGTTGAATTCATGTTTATAGAAGCGACAACCATATTGTTGTATTTGACATTTCTATCAAGTTTGTCCTCCGTGGAAGTGGGTGTAAATTAGTTGCAAGTCATCTTCAGGACATCGCAAACCAACAATCAGTCAATCATCATTGAGCAGGTCCTCTATAGAACGTCGCTCTCTTCCCGGCACGTCTGAAAGTCTTTCTTTCTCTAGCCATCTGAGATTGCCACTGATCTACCAGAAGGAACCAGTGAACTTAGAATTACATCTGGGTGCGACGGAAGTGAGACATAAAACAGTAAAATAAAGATCAGAGATACATAAATGTAACTGTTCTTCTGCTCTCTACTGCTGGAATGCCTCATAGCGTCATGACAGAAAGGGATCTTTGGAACGGTCCCCACTGATCTCCACTTCTGGAATGCCTCATAGCGTCAGGACAGGAAGGGATCTTTAGAACGGCCCCCACTGCTCTCCAGTCCTGGAATGCCTCATGGCGTCAGGACAGGAAGGGATCTTTGGAACGGTCCCCACTGATCTCCACTCTTGGAATGCCTCACAGCGTCAGGAAAGAAAGGGATCTTTGGAACGGTCCCCACTGATCTCCACTCATAGAATGCCTCACAGCGTCAGGAAAGGAAGGGATCTTTGGAACGGTCCCCACTGATCTCCACTCCTGGAATGCCTCAGAGCGTCAGGAAAGGAAGGGATCTTTGGAACGGTCCCCACTGCTCTCCACTCCTGGAATGCCTCACAGCGTCAGGACAGGAAGAAATCTCTGGATCGGCCCATTCTGTTCGCTTCGTATATAGAATCTTTCACAGTTTCCGTTATGTCCGCAGTGTCTGC